TGAATATTGCAAATAGAAGACCTGTTGATGAAACTATTTTGTTTTTTTGAAAAGGCTAATATTAATTGAAAATCATTGATATTTTTCTAACAGCAAGAAATATTTTATCTTGATAAGAAAAAAAGAAACGTTTAATCGTTTATCGCACTACAATTTTGTATGAAGATCGAGGTATGTTCAGATTTCCCGAAAAGGAAATTACGGAAATTTCCATAACTTCCAAATACACGTAAATTCAAAGAAAAGTAATTTCAGAAATTTTGGAGGTGACAGAAATTTCAGAAATTACAGAAATTACGGAATTTTCGGAAATTGGAAATTATGAAAATTTTGGAAATTTCGGAAATTACCAAATTTTTCGAAGTAACAGATATTTCAGAGATATCACTTAAAAAAAAATTTCCGAAACTTCCGTAATTTCCTTTTTTGGAAGTCTGAACACTGCTGGAAGAAAATGAAGAGTTTTATGTTTTATTATTGAGTTGGTGAAACAAAATTGTGACATTTTATATGATGAAATTGAAACACTTTCACTCCTTGATCCCGTGCACTATTGCAATGTAAAGAATTTCTAAAATATGTATAATTATCTACTAGTAGTATATCGAATAAGTTTTTCTTTATGTGTATCGTCATACTAGTGAATCGCCTTTTTGTTTCTGTTTGATTAGATTTATTTATTGATTTGCTTATTGATAATCAATAGACGAGTTTTGACAGCTATATAATTGTTGATTGATATGATTGATTGTTGAGACAATAGCCTAGAATATATTTATATATTGAAAATAAAAATTTGATTTTGAATTTTTACATGAAAGTTTTAACTGGACAATTAACAAAGTGTAAAACTTAGTTCTATAATTTCTTCAGTTATTGAACAAGGAAAACTTCAAATTATCTAATTGAGTGCATTCCCCGACTTATTCATGAAATAATTTAGTAATAGTATATTGTCAGAGAGATGAAGCAATACCATCATCGATCTTTTATGAAGAACACTTTTGTAACCTTCTGTTAAAATTTCTCAAAAAAAAAATATATATATATATCAAAAGATGCACCATGTTTAGACCTACTGATATATAGTCGCTTGCTACAGACATCTCATAAAATTCAATATCTCGACAAAGAATTATTCTTTTGTCGCTGAAACTTTTAGGATATGTCAAGAGTCTTTAGACCTATCTCTATAGACAAAATTACAGATCGAACTTCCATTATTTGATTTTCTAGTAAAGAGTTTGAAAATCCAGTAAAACAGTCATAATTCGACTCCAGAGACCCATGGATACGAATGCTGGTAAGCTATGTACTACAAAACCGTATATATGATCAAATGATTTGAGATAGATCAGCACATCTCGATAAAATCCTTTGCTACGAAGGAATCTTTAGTTCTGGCCATATTCTTCGTCAAAAATCAATGAAATCTCGATTAACTCTTCAATTAATCAATTCAGCATTCATTTTTTTTTTATTGGAATCAAGATCTTTCCTTTTATTTTGTTTGAGTTACTTGCTTTGACTATGAGAACAACCAGTTCCAGAAACTTTGTACGAAACTGATACTCTTATTGCTATAAGAGATATAATTTCTTTATTCGCATTCTATAATGAAAATATTTCAGAATTTCATCTAATGTGCATTCTATCCGTCCGTTGATTGGTTTCTCTAATAACAACATTTATTTTATCTAGATGTCGCTAATATCTTTCATTATAAAATAAAGAAAAAGTATTTTCTAATTCTTATTTTCAAATAAATTAATTTAGAAAAAATAAAAAATTCTCAAAAAAATATTTCTTTAATCAAATTCAATAAAGCGTTCTTTGTCATTTGATTATGGCTGTTAAATCAACAACAACAACAACAACAATAATAATAATAATACTCATAGAGAAAAAAAAAAGAAAGAAAACAAATATAATAATAAATAAGTTCAATTCATGTTGTTTTTTTTTTGTTATAGATTTTTGTTTTTTTTTTTGTCAATTTATTCATATCCATATGAACATTAAAAATTTTCTTAGTTCGTTTTTCGAACTCGTATTATGACGACAACAACAGAAACATATCTATCAACACAAACATCATTTACAAATGAAACAAATAATAATACTACTACTACTACAAATAATGAAGATCAATCATCAACAATTGCTGCTAATGTGACAATTGATGAACTTGTTCAATCATGTTGTAGTGAAGTATTACCATCATCTAGTCAAATGAATAGTAGTAGTAGTGCTTCACCAACACATCTCGTACGATTTGTTCATTCACAATCGTCACTTGTTAGTCAGATAGATGAACAACAACGTCCATCTGAACAAGGTACTATTAATTCTTCGTCTAGTCATGATACACCTATTAAACAACAACAACAACAACCAGCACCACCACCACCACCGTTAATTAATGTTACACATTTACCATCACCATTTAAACCAAAAACAATTATTGAATCAACAAATTCAATGCAAAATACAACTAATTTAAGTAATATAACAGCAAATAATATTAGTGTGAATAATTATAATGTTAATATTCATACAACAAATGTTCAACAACAACAAACAAATATATTAAATAATGAACATATTACAAAAAAATGTCAATTTGATGAAAAACAAACAACTGAAATTGTTTCACAAATATTAAAAAATATAAAAGAAGTTGATGAACATCAAACAACAAATACAACATCAACAACAACAACAAATTATAATATACATATTGATTCATTTAATTTTTCATCAACAAATGATCAACAACATTCAACAATAATTAAAAAATCACGTATTAAAAAAGAAGCTAAAGCATTAACAAGAATTATTGTTAAAGATGAAACACTTTCACCAAATTTTACACGTAATAAAAAAGGAGGAACAAGACATTTATCAAATACACAATTAACAACAATAAATAATTCACAACCAATGGAATATATACCTGTACCTTATGGATGGCAAAGAAGAATATTAGCACCAGATCTTGTTGTTTATCTTAGGTTAGAATATATATATATATATTCAATTAAAGTATTTATATTATTTCCTATTAATTTTTAGTCCAACTCATGTCATACTCGATTCATTAGATGCTATACGTCAATATCTTGAAACACCATCATCATGTAAATGTGGTCTTCAATGTCCACTTATTGTTGATAAGGTTCGTTTGTTTGAAGTCGAATCAAGATGATTCTTAACTATTTATTTTTTGCATCATTTCTTGGCGAACGAGGAGACTACTTCATTCTTGAGATAAGTTTTGTAATCAAATGGAAAATCGACTGTCGAATTTAAACTTTGCATGAACATCATTAAAAATAATGAAGTTTTCTGCCTTTATCTATAGGCTTCTGCCTTGAAAAACATATCTCACATGCTCTACGAAGGAAAAAAAACCTGGATTGCCAAAGTTCTGGAAGGTTTTAAATCGTGCTCAACAATTTATAGAGTCGGCAGAAATAGATCTTTTTTCATAGGAGTCTCTCTATTATTTAAAACTTTTCGAGAAAAACTCATACGAAAAATTAACAAAAAAGAATTTAAAAAAATTGAACTGTGTTAGATTGTAATGGCAGATATTAACTACATCTTGACGCCAACCCAAAATCTATATCGTTAAATTTAAGACGTACGGAGATCTATTTAATATCTACATAAATTCTATCATAGGTTTTCAACTTTGATTCAACAATAAAATCAAAATCTTGGGAAGTCACACAAGTACTTGAAGGTACTCATTGTCGACAAAAATCGAATATCTTAGAAATGGCAACATTAACAAATTGTATTGATTCATTTTGTGAAACAGAACAAAAACCTGGTAAAATATTATTTTTTTTTTTTTTTTTTTTTTATGAAATATACAATCTTAAATAATAGCTAAACGTCGAAAACGAACACATACTGAAACAACAAATGGAAATGTATTTGTTTGTGCATCAAATTCATCGAATATTTTACAAACAAATAATGAATCAAGTGTTTTTGTTAATAGTACCAGTCAAATATCAGGTATTTAAAAACAGAATTTTGTTTTTGATAATTTCATTTTGTTTCAAAAATAGAAAGTGGCCAATCGATGACATGGACTCCATTACAACAAACTGGTGTTACTCCACCGTCGAAACGGCCACGTGGTCGTCCTCGTAAAACAGCTATTACTCCACCAGTTATTGCTCAATTAGCTGTTAAACCATCATCACATGATTCTCATCAACCTGTACCATCATCAATATTATCTCCACCTGCATCTGTTTCATCAATATCACAAACAAATCTTGTTCATAGAAATTCAACATCACCTTCAACACATCATCAAAATAATAATCTTCGTTATATAAATGATAATGTATTAACTCCATCATCAACAACAGATACAAATGTTATTGCTCGTGTACCATCTCTATTTGAACAAGTTAAAACAACAACAAATGAATCAACATTTGCTGTTTTATCTGGTGTACAAAATGTTCTTCTTTCACCAAATAGAGATACAAATACTAATAATAATAATAATAATAATAATAATAATAAACGAGTACGTGTTGAATCATCATCATCATCATCATCAATTGTATCAACAACTGGTAAACCTGTTACATTAAATGTAAATGCACTTAAACCAGATTTTGTTCGATCACCAGCTGCTGCACAAAAACCATGTACGACAACATCAAATCAAATTGATGTTATATCATTAATGGGTACAAATAATCAAACACAATTAATGGTTACAAAAACAACACCAAAACCAATTGCACCAATACCATCAACAACAATTAATTCTGATGAATATACAACATTAATAAAATCTACAAATGAACAAACAAATGATTCAACACAACCATTAATGATTGATTTTAATGATCCATCAACAACTAATTTTCTTTTATCAGCACTTGCATCAGGTGCAGCATCAGATTCAAATGCTATTGTTAATCATCTTTTTCAAAAAGCACAAACACAACGTAGTAATAATACATCATTATCATCATCATCATCATCACCACCACCACCACCACCACCACCACCACTATCATCGTCATCAACAGCAACAATTAAAAAAAAACTTCCTATTATTTCATCGGGATTAAAAAATTGTACAGAAACAACAAATTTATTACCGATAACAAATTCTACAACACGTCAACCTGTTGTACTTCATGTACCAACAACAACAATTACAAATGATTATAATCAACAATCACAACAAATTATTTTCAGTAGTAGTAATAATAATAATAATAATATTATTAATAATAATAATGGTGAAAGAAAACAAGCTCAACAAATATTTTTTATTAATAATAAACCATATGTTATTCAACAAAAACTTACACATGATCAATCATCACAACAAAGATTGGTTCTAACACCATCAATAACTCAATCAGATGGTTTGTATAAAGTTTTCACATAGAGTCAAACTTCATTTTTAAGGCTCTCCACTTATAACAACGGGAGAAAGAAAAAAGGTCAATAATCATTGGGTACGTTTCCATAGCAACGGGGTGAAAGGATGGTTAAGTACGTTTCCATAGCAACCGAAAGCAATAGGCGTCAGACTTTGTGAATGTTCTAAATAGTGCAGTTTATAGGAGAGTCGTGCATTGATTTACTACAGTCGTCATACGATCAGCAAAAAGAAAAGAACGTTAACTAATCAAGTTATAACCTCGAGAAATATTCAATATCAGTATTTCTGAGCTTATCGACATATATAATAGTGTGCTGAGACCTGCTATTATAGCACATCGGGTTCAAGAATTGCTGGATCCGATGAGCTCTATCCAGAGTTGGAATCGGTTCCGGTCCGACCAGACAGGATTGGATTTTTTGCCAGTTTATCATTATAAAATTATTGTTTGCATTCAAGAATTTTCTCTACTGAAAACAGTGTTTTATGGAATTTTCAAGTCAGAAGAATGTGTTTGCGAAAGACTCAATAGATATCTTGTCTTTAATTTGACTATAAACGATTGATTGTTCTCTTTATAGCTCTATCGATTTCTTTCTCGCGTATCGCTCAAATAATTTATTTTCGTGTTCTACTTAGGCAGCTGTCTGAATCAAGAAAAATAAATATTTACAATTTTACGGTAGATTTGTTATAAACTTGCTTTTTTTCCTTTTTTTTGAAATTAAGATGAAAAAATAAATTTAATCTAAGTAGCTAATTTATATCGACATCGGACTCAAAAGGTTGACACATCTTGCTATAAAATACGATGGTGAGAGTTTCATTCCCTAGTTTTAGTTTTCAGTTCGAATTAGGGGTGACGATTTCCTGTACATCTAAATTTACAAAATTGATTTTTGAATTTATCAAACTTTCGTAAATGTAAATTGATCACCCCTACTTCGGATTTCTATACGTAAATATTCAATTCCTTTTCGTTGGACTTTTGCCATTTTGGTTGTAAAATTCATCCGGCTGGTTGCTGGCCGGACCGAATAGAAAAAAACTGTCCGGTTCCAACTCTGGCTCTATCTACTATAGATATAATGGATATACTAGAGATTTTTCACTTACCGTATTCCGTATGAGTATAATGAAAAGCTAAAGAATATATATGTAAATTCCAGATTTTCATCACGAAGAAGTGGTACTGATAATCTTCTTATTTCGAATTTATTGAAATAATTTTTTTTGCATGCATTTATATTTTCTCTCATATACCTAGTAAAAAGAAGTCTATGAGAATATTTTTTTTTGTTTTTTTTGCAGAACTTACCGTTCATAATACATCTCATTCAAATCGAAATATTGCCCCTGCTCAAAATAATAGTACTAATTCAAGTGGTCAATCAACATTAGATGATGGTGGTAATTGTCTAGTAGTAAATGGTGTTGTTGAACCACGAACATTGAGTACATTATTAAAAGGTCTTAATCCATCATCATTTTCTGGTGTTGATAATCTTATTGATACTATACATCGTTTTGAACATACAACATCAACAGAACAAAATGATAAGTTATTACTTAAATCTGCTCGAACAACAGTCAAAGCAAGTCCAGCAAAGAAAACAAATTCAGATAAACCACCAACCAGACGTCGAGCACCAAAAAAAGTTAAACAAGAAGAACAACAAGTACAAGTAACTATGCCACCGCCACCACCGCCTCCTCTTCCTCCTCCACCACCACCACCAATTGTTGCTGATCAACAACAATGGCAAACAGATTTTAATTCTTTGGATTTTTCAACAGCATGGGGTAGTGATACAAATTTAAATTCTCTTTTATTAAATGATGATTTTGATACGGCTGCTTCATTTGATGATGTTAGTTTTGGAGATTTTGAACCATATATGAATGGTAACAATAATAATAATAATAATAATAATCTTAATCAAACCGATACAATATTGCCATCATTATTTGGTAAACCATTACCGCCAGACACATTACCAGGTGTTGATCATCTTTTACCTTGAAACGAGAAAAAAAAGAAAGAATTTCTCTGTTCTTTTTTTTTTTTTGTTTCTTTCGCGTCTCTGTTTTCTCTTTTCGCATATTGTGATATTCGTCTACATTGTAAAAAGAAAAAAAAATTGCACGCGCACACACACACATATATATACATATATATATATATATAGATGGATGATACTCACACATTAATTGGTCATCTCAGGCTGCTGCTGCTGCGTTTTTTTTTAATTCGGTCTTAAATATGTAAATGTAGTTGCGTAGTTTATTTCTTTCTTTCTCTGTTGATCTGAAGAAAAATGTTTTTTTGTTTTCTATATATGCGTGCAAGTGTGCAATTCTTATGTACTCATTTCAATCCCACCTTTTTTTTTTCTCCTTTTTGCCTCTAGTCTCTTTCGGCCTTCTTATTTATATATTTTTTGTTGTTTGTACAGTGTCGATTTTTCTTTTTGTCTTCTTGCAATATTATACGCGTATATATATATATATATATATAAATATTTATTTGTGCCTTGTCTCCACTCTAGAATGATATTTTGCGTTCCTTAAAATTTTCTTTTCTTTATAACCGAATTTGTACAATGTTCATTTATTATATGTTTGTGTGCCGTGTCGTTCATCTTTTCTTTTTTCTTCCTTTTTTTGTCTTTTGCTCTTTGCCTCTGCTTTCGTTTATCAATCACACAGACAGAACGACGACAACGACGAAATATATATTGACTCATTTCGATATGCGTGTGTGCGTGTGTATGAGTGTATTTCAATTTAATACAATAATGGACTTTTCACATTTTTGCAAAAAAAAAAACATTTTTTTTTGTCTTTTGATTAAAAATTTGACGAGAAAATTTCTTTCTTTTCTTGAATTGCGACAAAAAAAAGCAAACAGAAATTTACGATCGAGGAGGCTATATTCTCTTGATATTTGCATTTTTATTTATTTTTTGTTTTGTTTTCTTAATTCTAGATGGGTAACGGTATAACAATAAATAAAAAACAACTTCCCGGTGTTCCACAACCACCTGGTGCACGTAAAATTGTCGTTATTCCATATCAAAAATGGATCTATCATGATGCACGTCGTTTTGGTCATTTTAATCAATTTAGTACCGATAGTGGTTGTGAAATAATTTTAAATAATAACAATAATAATAATAATAATAATAATAATAGTTTAAATAATAATTTAAATAATAATACAATCTTATCTGTTCTCCCTTCACTTTCTTCAAGTTCATTTTCAACTCCAACATCATTTGTATCAACATCATTATCATTAACAAATGATTTTGTTGTACAAACAAAAACACAATTAGCATCTTCATCTGTTCCTTCATCTATATCATTTTTAACTAATAAATCTAATATTCGTAATAATAATAATCAAAATCCATCAGCATCTGCATTAGTTGGTTCAGCAATGACTTTATCAAGTTCATCATCAACAGTAGCATGTTCATCAACAATACCATTAAATGATTCTGATTTACGACGTTTACATCCTAAACCAATTTATTATGTTAATGGAAGATTTTTTAAAAGTTTAACACGTCTTGGTGATGCACAATTTATATTAAGTGAACATGGTGAAGATGATATTATATTAACAGTACCATCAAATATTGAACGTTATCGTACAAATGATAATACTGTACGTGAACGTATACATCGTTTAAATCGTGTTATAGCATGCTGTGACGAATTTATTGTCTTTCAATTATGGAAAGGAAATAATGAAGTAAGTTTATATTAATAAAAAAAAAAAAAATCTTTTTTTTTCTCTACCAAAAACACAAAAAAAATTTTTTCATCTAGGTGGAAATATTTGTATTTGATCGACCTATATTAACAGAACCATCAGATATAAAAATTTCATCAAAAAAATGTACATGTTTTCATCGACAAACACGACAACATCAATCATCATCATTATCATCATCTAGTCAATCATCTGATCAAATGAATTCAACAACACGTATAAATACACCAAATCGACATAGTTCATTAATGCAAACAGCAACATTAAGTGCTTATCATACAAGTGAACCACAACGATCACCAATTAAATCATGTTCATTATTAAATGATACTGAAAATCATTTAGATATGCAAAATGATGCATATGAATTTGTTGATAATACAAAAAAAGTTTCTTATTTAACCGGTTCAGCTCGATGTACATTGGTAACTGCTTCAGCTACTATGGCTGCTAATTATAATACTAACAATAATACTAATATTTCTAATCATACATTATCATCGACTATGTCGAGGATACGATTTGGAAAATCGAACAGTCGGTGAGATAATTATCAATGATTTTTTTGTTTTTTTTTGTTTTTGTCATATGACTTAAGGATATCCGTTCCTCTTCCTTTCGAAAAATTGTCTTTAAATGTTAAGAAATCGCTCAGATAAATGAGTTAAAACTATGAAATCGATGTAATATTGATTGTCAAACACTTTAACAAGTTTCTTATGTGTCTCTGAACAATATGACTGAAATAATTACACACGATACAAGGTCATATACTATAGGTGATGAAAGGATAAAGTGAAAAAATTTCATTTCGTTATTTACACATTGGTAGTTTGCTAAATTAAAAAATTAATAGTAATTGACTGAATAATTTTAGAAATCGAATGATGTGAAAACAGAGTTTTGTATTCTTAAAATTTTCATCAAAAATCCATTTTGATTTGTCTAAGATTATAGAGCATATCGAATTGCATAGAACACAATAGATTTTTTTCTTTTTTTTGCAGAAAATACAGTCATTTTTTATTTATACAATGATGAAAAAAACCGGTTTCCAAATAAGAAAATAATAATTATTATTAGATTTGCAAAAATAGGAACTCTAGAAAACTCGAGATACGTGTTGTTCAACACTTCGAGTGTATAAATATAATTTTGTTTAGATTGCATAGAACGATAGAGTAAACTATCTTCTACAACATAAAATATTATCAAGTTCTCTACAACTGTTTTCAGCTGATATACAGCAATTTGATTGACGGTCGAAAAGTAGTTATTCTATAGGGAATCGAAAGAAAAGACTTTAAATGCTTTCGTAAGATTGCTATATCTCAGCTAGAAAATGCAACAGAGAACTTAATGACATTTCATTTTGCAGAGGATGGTTTACTGTATTATTCTATGTAGTCTAAATAAAATTATATATACGCGCTTGAGGTGTTAACAAACTAGGATTTTAGTTTTCTAGAGTTCTAATCTTTGCGAACTTGATAATAATTTTTATTTTCTTTGGAAATCATTTTCTCTATTTGGATACTTTCTAGCACGTACGAGAGTGTAAAAAAAGTGAAAATCTTCAACATAATATTATTCTATTTAAAACTCATCTTTAGAAAATCGAAAAGATTATTGTCTTATAAACAACTCGATACGATCTATAATCTTAGTAGATTAAAATTGATTTATTAATTTGGAAAACCAAGATCCACAGAGAATCCTTATGGTTGATAAGCCATAATTCAATAGTTCTTAGTGAGGAAACATTTTAGCAATTGAAAATATTCTCTTGTTAACAAAAAAAAAGAAAGCTCATCTCTTGATTAATATGCTAAAAAAATATTTGATTTTGCTAATCTTCTTTTTTTTCTTTCTAATTATTTGTTTATTTAATAAAATATTTTCATATATCTTCTTTTAGTTCAAAATCAACAAATATACGTTCATATTCAATTTCAAATACAAATGAAGTTTTACTTAGTAAAAATTCTCAAAATTTAATTCATGATTCCAAACATCGTTCAACACCTTATCTATCATCATTATCATGTAATTGTATGGATAATAATGAATCTATATTAATATTATCATCAACATGGAATAGTCGTATTGTTCGAAAACTTAATTCTGTTGCACATCGTTTTAATGCACGATCATATGCATGTTTAATATCACCGGATCGAACAAAATTATTAATAACACCTGATTATGAAGATAAACATTCATATAGTCATCAAATACATGAAGTAACTGTTATATTTGATATAAAAACATATGCTATACTTCGAATAACACCAGCTCGTAAGTGTTAAAACAAAAAATAAAATAAGATTATTAAATTTTTTGTCCAATTAGGTTATGATCAACGATTTTCATTTGATCCACGTTTTGGTCATTCACGTTTAGCAGAATTTGATACAGTTCGTGGTCAAATAACAGATATAACAAAAGATCGTGTACTTGTTTGTTCAAATCATACATTGAAAACAAAAGTCTATCGTGTAGAATATACAAATGATGGACATCTTATTATTGTTCTATGCACACGTAAGAATTTAAATTTTCAAAAGAAAGAATTTGAAAAAGAACATTAAGAAAAATTGATATCGGTTAAAAACTGCTTCGTCTAAGAAATGTGTAGAGTACACTAGTCAAGAACGAAAAAGAAAAGTATCGAAGTACTGTTCGATCGGATCTGAAAAAGATTCCGAGCTATTCAATTGCTTGAGAATATTGCTATTCGATTGTTCATAATGAATAGCAAAAAAACAAAACTTTTTTTGATTGGATTTTCCAATCTTTGCTTGTTGAATTATTGACATTTTATTCAAATTTTGTCCTGTGAGCATACGAATCTGAATGATTGAATATCAAGCTGAAATTTCGCTTTCGAAAAAATTCAAAAGTTTAAGCTAGGACAAATATATTCGAATTGAGGCGTTGGCTTTTCCTAGAAACATCTTCTATTTGAAATGCAGATCAGAACAATAGTTTCTTTAAAATATAAATATCTGAGCAAGAGTATGTTTGTCCTAGCTAAAACTTTGGGATGTTTCTAATAGCTATAGAATCTATCTATGGGCGATATTTCAGCTCGAATTTCAATCATTTAGGCGCCTATATTTATAGGAAAAAATTGAGTAAAATGCTAATAACTTAACAAGCGAAGACCGGAATACTAAATCCAAACAGATATTTTTTCTACTCATTATGTCCGATCGAATGGCAATAATTTAGTATTTTATC